AAATCTAAATTAAGTTCTAATTACTGTTGGTTTTTAACGAATTTCAAATAGCATTTTTTGTTGTATTTTGGAGAGCGCAATAAAATAAAACGTGATGTGTTTTGGTAAAGATTATTTTGACAAAAGTTTGTTTTTTAAAAAATATTTTTGATGTTAATTATAAGCCAAATATGAGAAAATAAGTTTTTGTTTATTTCTTGATAGCAATTTCTACTCAAATTCTCTCAATAATTTAACAAATTTCGCAGTTATCTGAATTCAGATTAGCGATTATACGTTTGAGGGCTTCCTGTTAGTATTATAAGAGATTGCTGTTTAGAGAATTTTATCGTTTAGAAGAATATTAGATTGATCGTTGAATTTAATCGAGATAATAAAAACTGCTAAAAATAATGAAATGAGCCTTCGAACGATTTTTGCTATACTCACGTATGATGACCAACCACATAACTGAAAAACTTAACCGAAGTGTTAAGTCATTTATTTTATTAATGTTGGACTACCTTTAAACACCTGACGAAATATGCGATGTACTGAAAAGAACGCTATGAAAGCATTATAATTAAACATTTATTCGCCATGTAGAATATGTGTAAAATGCTTTTTGAATTATATTACAAGTTTTAGTTACTTCTTTCGTTTCGAATAATACATAAGTGAACGAGATTTCGAAGACATTTTAGAGAAAACTTCTGTTACACGTAAATGGATATTTTTGGGCACTGCTGATTTCTTTCAAATTGCTTGATATGAAAGGAACTACAAAACTAAAAGAAAATTTAAAAATGCAAAATATTGATCTGATAATCATGTATCGACAGAGAGCTATTTTTCAATAGCTTTACGAAGGCGAAATGCTTGAAATGATATTCTTATTTCACGAAAACTCTTGCGTAAAATTCATCACATATCATTGTTAGTATTCGTTTTTTTTCTATGAACTTAAAAGTTCGTAAGAAAAATATGCACTTTTTAATGTTTAAGGAAAGTAAAAAATATTAAATCCCTATTAAAGTCTCTCACACGCAATTTAATTTTCATATTAAAATTAATTTGTTATCTGCATAAGACATGAAAAAAAAAAACTCATGTAAGTGATATGGTATATATTAACAATAAAAATATTCATAACCATTACAGCAACTTAATCGCTTCATGGCAGTATTGAAAAGAAGGCATAATATGAAGTCAATTAATTGCAGTAAATTTGTAATATTTAGTAAATCAAGGTAATTACGTACAGAAAATTAGACAACAGGTACTAGAAGCCAGGCTAGCATCTCTGTAGTACCCACAAGAGATTTGAAGTACATCTGAACTTAGCTTAACTGCTATACTTCTGCAACTTTTGAGGTAGAACACCCTGGAAGGCGTTCTAAGAATCTACCATACTTCTTTCCCTCTCTCCATACTTCTTTCCAATCTCTTAAGGGAAATTTTGGCTCGCCGCTATTTTGAGTGCCTTCTTACCGCACAGACACTATACGTTTACAAATATCCATGCCTTCACCCAGATTCAAACCGGGGTCCATTCGGGAAGCAATCAGTCACCTACCGTCTGGGCGGGGGCATTAAACCACCACAACAAAAAAAAGTAACTTAAAAAGACATTCACGAATAATTAGTTAATTTAATACTTTCTTGCGGAACTCCAAATTATTTGCGGCGAAACATTAGGGTTATGGAGAAACCTGACTGAGAGGATTACTTTTATTTCAGGACAAGCGAATTCATTAGCGAAAGAACACGTGTGGGCTAAATGTTGCTTTCTTAATAGAAACGTCTGGAAACAACTTGTACTTAACTTTTCCTTACATAAGATTTATATTTTACTGCTAAGTATACTGTAATGGAATACAAAATGCAATAATGTTTTATAGCATTTCATCAAAGCATATACATAAATGGGAAGGAAAAAATAACTGAAAATTATAAATAAATTTAATGATTAAAAATTCACGAATATAACACTTTTGTATATATTTAGATTGAAATGGAATCAATAATTCGTTATATAACACTGTATCCGCAAGCCTACTTAAACGGCTTTTATTTTCACGAACTTTGGTCGCACAGATTACGACATCTAACCTTTTATACAGTCTTCCAGCCTGAATACTTATATTTTGGAAAATGTTGCTAATTAATATAAAAAATAAAACACAAATTATTTGACACCCATGCTACCAAAATGGAACGATGTATTTAATTTTAAAATTTGCGATTTCAGACATTATTGCAATTTGTGTTAAGCTGCCAGTTAATAAGTTAGTATAATCCGAGATTGACTTTTGTACCTCTTAAAAGCCACTCAACGATATTCTTTTGTGATTCACTGGTGTCTTATATTTATAATATTACATTTGGTATGCAAAAGTATTTTCAAGCAAGTAATTTATAAGTTTTCAGAGTCTAAAAATACAGTATTAATATTCTATGAAGAATTATAATCTGGTTAACAATATAAAAAATTGATACGTATATCTGCGAATATTTTTCATTTTTAATTAATGCAAAGAATATGACGAGTTGTCTACTTGCCAACACTAAAGCCGGCCAGTGTTTTCAAGAACACTAATCCTATAAGATTCTGGGAATAAGATTTTCATTTTGGAAAAAAAATTATACTGATAACAATTGTTCATAGTAAACTCTATGAAATCTAAACTCCTGATACCCAGCAGGGGCCGAATTGTACAGCCGCTGAACATTGGTAATTCGGTCCGAGGTTCTAATCACGCTAACGAGCTGGCTGCATGGACGCGTTCCCATGTGTAAAGTGCATAAGAGCCAGTTTCCCTTCGAATGTTCTTCATAAAGTCATCGCGTTCCTTAGGCAGATAGCCCTCGAGTGCTTTGCCGTAATCACATAAACCAAACTAAACTGATGATTTTATTTTTAGTTACGTACAAATGGCAAACATTTCATTTTTCAGTTTGTGTATGACCCCTGAATGTGATCTTCAACTTTAATATTAAATTTTTGCCAAGTATCAGTATAAAAAATATCTTTCAACGGGAATCTTACTTTTTGTTTTATTTTTTTATAATGAGTAGAGAATTTTTTAAATATAAGGGGAGAGTGAAGAAAAGTGCATAAATTTCGTAATTTTTACAAAAATGTTTTACTTAAAAATGCCCAAACGTGAATATTAAATCGTTCTTTTACATTAAAAGCATTTTTGTAACTGGATGTGTGTTTCTACGAGGGCTGCAAAAATAGAGGCCGAATAAATACTTCTGTGCGCATGATGTATGGAATAAATGCTTGCCGAACGCAAGAATTGTCATTAATGCAATACACTGCGTGTACGGTAGTTTTTGTTTTCTTTTTTAACAGTAACACGGGAATGTATATTTAATTGATTAGAGTGTTACAAGCACATACAACACAAACACATAAAGAAAAGCAAAAACAGCAGGGAAAAGATCAGAATGCAAAATTAAAGCATGTCAAAAGACAATTTACAATGAAACATGACGCGCCACTGTACGGTAAAATCCCTTTCCGCAAAGTTTTTATGGAAAAAATGTGTTAGGTATAATTCAGATTAAGAAAACATGTATAGACTTAACAAACCTAAATATCGTTATAATTTAAAAGGAAAAAAGAAACAGATATTTATTGAAAGTATTTTTATTATTGCTTAATAAATACGCGATAAAATTATTTTTTAGAAAGCTGGTGACTTTTGTTCGCAACAACGACTAATGCAACTCTTTAAAAGTTCTGCAATAAGAAGAGCAAACTTTTTTAATGGTTTTGGTTTGGTTTACTTAATTATGGCAAAGCACACTAGGGCTATCTGCCTAAGGGGAAGGATGCCTTCGTGGAGGACTTTCTAAGGGAAACTGGCTCGTATACACGTTACACATTGGGGAAAGCCACAAAAACGGCTATGCAGCCAGCCCGTTCGCGGGGATTCGAACCTCGGACCGAACTACCAGTGTTCAGCGACTTTACCCCTCGGCCGCTGGTGGGCCCAAACTTTTTTAAAATGCTTCTCATAAAGTGTTCTTTGCTTTCTTCGCTTGGGTCAATCTCCTCTGAAAAATAGTTTAATTTTTAAGGCGTTTTATCTCTCCTCATTATCATTGCTTTCACCATCGACTGATTTTATACAAGATCGTCCAATTTTCCATTCATCATTTTTCGATTACATCTTTGACTTTTCTTCTTCCACGTCTGAAAATCCTTCACCGCCTATTGTTTTTGCGATTTAGGCGATTTTCTTTGAGGTCATAGCGGTCAATGAAAATGTTTTAAAACTGTTGATAGCTTGTGGACAGAACTGATGCCAGCAAGTATTCGGGACTTATGAATGAAAGTTGAACCACGTATAAATGCTAATGCTTGATATAATACGTTGAACCACGTATAAATGCTAATGCTTGATATAATACGTTGAACCACGTATAAATGCTAATGCTTGATATAATACGTTGAACCACGTATAAATGCTAATGCTTGATATAATACGTTGATACCATGCTTGATATATATGCGTATAATGCTTTGATATAATAATACGTTGAACCACGTATAAATGCTAACGTTTGTATAATTCTAACGCTTGATAAAGCAAATAGAAACAATTAAGATAAGCGTATATGCGAAATCGTGTTCCGCAAATCCGCGTTCGACAAGGAATTGTTTCGTTTGCTGTCTAATGCAAGCATGAGGAAGTATAGAAATATGTAACTAACATATTTGGAAATGCAGTTTAAATTGTCAAATGTATATATTTAGCCATAATCGAATATTAAACGCCAAATTTATATTTAATAGTAAATAGTAAACGCCAAATTTACAATTAATGTGTTAAAATAATAAGTTTATTCGGAAGCTACTGGCTACCTTTTACTCTGCAGTCATCATCTTCCGAAACTTGGTTATGCAAATAAGTCTGAAAATAAATCTCTATTCTATAAAGTATCTGAAATCACTGAACTTAAGCTTTCCGGATCATTAATTCTATTATTTTATAATTATTTTTCAGGATATCAAAGCGAAAATATGCCTTTGGTGATATATTCTAAGCAACTATGTGAAAAGTAGGCATCCAGTTCGCGATAGAAAACTCAAGTGAGCATCGTACATATGAGGTACATCGCACGTTTTGTGATCTTGGTTTAGCTGAAAATGTGTAGTTCCATTGATTCATAAATTAAAAATGACAATCACTTATTCTTTGGATGTCGCCAATACTCGGTTTTGTGGTTTCACGAAACTCCTGGGTCGTTGGAAAGGCAGTATATACAAGATTCTATGGAAAGAATTCATTGTGTTTTTGATGGGATATGGATTGCTCAGTGTTACGTACAGATGCTTCCTCAATAAGGAGCAAAAGAGGTAAGCCTTTATGACTATTTTTAATATGTAGAGTGCCTTGTGATTCACATTCTTAATATTTTAAAAATCAAATGCTGTTTATAATTTTAAGTTTGAAGTGCAGTAATTCCCGAGTTATGTACTTTATGACGTTCCATAAACTCTTATGTGACTTGAACTTTATGTAAATAGAATTTAACTTAAGTTCGTGAGAAATTGCAATATTTATTATTTAAGTATTAATAAATGTGTATACATTATTAAAACTAATGTTTTATAAATGGAACATCCTGCAAAAATATTAGTACCTTCCGATTATCCACATCCCTACTTACCAACTCTTGGTGACTTTGTGAATTGGCGAAAAACATTGATATTTGGCTATTTTTACGACTTATAGGTTTATGAGATATAAATTTATACACATAGGTTTATGAGCAAGGAGAAAATTCTATATAGTTAATATTCCTACAGCCTGCTTACTATTTAGCGAAATGACCGTTAAATATAAAGCTTTCAAATCCGCGAATATACTCACATGTATGGTACGCGCATATGAGGCTATTTATTGTCGAATAGTATATTTGAAAGAAGACCAAAAGCGGACAGTTCTACCGAAGTTGAAACAGGGTTAAGAAAATATGCAAAATAATATAAAAAAGAAACTAAAATCTCTATTTTCAAGCAAAAGAAAATACCTTGTGACCGTTAATTGATTCTAGTGGGCGCTGGAGGTGGTGGTTGTGAAGAGAAATCTTCTCTGGCAACTTCTTCCTTCTTGATATTGAAAGTCTATTTGCAGTTAAGGTCCTCTAAATTGCCAGCTTGAAATTGGTGTGAAAGGATTCTTAGATATGTGTACAGTAGTTTGTGGGATCACGTGCTTTTTGTCTCGTAAATGGCTTTATGCCGAAACGTATTGGAATAGGTTGGCTGTTAACATTCTCCAAGGGTTTGGGTTCGAATGCTGGTCTTTTTTTATAAATCTTTGTCAGGACTAGCTTTCTTATGAATAATCAGAAAACTCAACGCTATCCTCTACTCTATTAAATCCTCAATCCAGTAAGAATAATATATCGTATCTCAAAGCGAGCAATAGAATAACAAATGCACGAATTTGAAGCCTCGCCATTTTTAAATATGGTTGAAAGATTTAAATTAAAAGAAACCTAGTTACGATTTTTACACAATAATACTGTTATATGCATATATAGGGTACACACGTCTTTTTTTTAAACACTTTGTAAAGCATCGAAAAATAATCTGGGAAAAGCATTTGGGGGCAAAAACAGTACGGGAAGTCACACCAGCTTTCAGCTTAGTTTTTAGGATGTTTTTCTTGTAGAAGATTAATGCTTGCCTATATACTACGCTCACGGTCTACTTGATTACTGATTATATTCGTATTTCATTTTGAGTCTTAAAACTCTTGTGCGACTGTGCTGGAACCTGAGGACTTCTGACCTCCAGTATGCAATTATGATATGAAGAAAAAACGTTTTTTAGATTAAAGTAAAGGGTTTATTTTATTCCTTTACATTTATTCGAAAGTGATATAATTACTTAAAAAATTTCAATAGAAGTGTGAGAAGCAATTTACTGAATACTTTAGCACAAGAATTATTAATTTAATCATTCACTGCTTTCAGGTTATTTAACTTCTACTTATTTACTGCACAAAAGTGAGTAGAGGAGGAATGTTCAAAATTCGGGAATGAGTTAATTTCTTGGCTTGTGTTTCTTTTGAATTTTTATTTATCAACACGCGCAAAGCAACTTGCGGTTTGAGTAAGACTTGTCATTCTGATTCCTGCGCATAGGTTGACTACATTAGTGTTTTTGTGCTTCTCTATGATGCGATATGCAAGGAATTTTTCAGTACTCTTTTGGTTGCTTTGTCTCCAGTCTTTTGTTTGCGTGCATTTATGGATAAAAGATGTGTGTGAAAGATTAAAAGAGCTGTAATAGTTTAAAAAATATTTTAATTATCGTGTCCGTAAAGCAGGAAAAGAATTTAACGGATGGAATAGAACGAGTTAGAAAGTAACTATTTTATCGAAAAACGGGATTTGTGGCAATTTCAATACCGGACAAAAACATTTTTGTGTCCCAAGTAAAAGTAATTTCTGATACCTTTTACTTTAGCATCTGCAACAATGAAACAGTTTGCCAACATTATAATTTTTTTACTTGTTTAGAGTCGCGAGTTGATTTCAGAAAGCCCAACTGTTATTTTTCATCACTTGATTTGCCATCAATTCTTATTTGTCATGATTCGAGCATCACTAAATAAAACTGAATTATTGGATTACGGCAAAATATACTAAGATTATATGCCAAAGGAGAGGGATGCCTTCGTAGAGAAATTTTTACAGGAAACTGACTTGTATACACAAGTCACATGCTAAACTTGTAACAAAATTTGTAAAATTCACTTGTAAACACATGCTAAAAATCACAAACTCCCATGCAGCCAGCTAGTTAACTGGGATTCAAATCTGTATCGAACTAACCATTGACTACTTGAGTGAAGTGTACGAGTTAATTCTTGCCATTTCTAATTAGATTTCTTGCAGCTAATGCCATTACTTTCAAAAACTTCCTCATTAAGCAAAGACATCTTGTTCTTAAAATTTGTAAAATTGTGTACTTTAAATTTGTAAAATTGTACTACTTGGTACATTGGGAGAACATATTTACCATCCCGTTTGAAAATCAGAATATAATAGTTAACGTATTTACTTTTTTAGAGTTTCATTATTTTATTTATAACCTCAAGTACATTACCTTTATTTTAAAAGCATGAATATTATAAAGGCTCAATTAAGATATTGTGTTTGACTTTTGAGTGTTTGATCTAATTTTATGGACTCCATGAACTGTGGAAATTATTTTTTATTTTATCATTTATTTTTAATCAAATTATGGTTTTAGTTTTTTATTCCTATTTCCTGTACTAAAGTATAAATATCAGAATTTATACTTTTAAGTTACGTAGTCTATTATGTAAAATGTAAATTAATTCGGTTATAATTATTTAAAATGAAAATAAATCTGCTTAATGATGAAAGTGGGACAATACAATACGTCTTAACTACTGCTAAAGACCGACGTTATCAGTCATAGTCAACCGAGATATTTTTAATCATCCACATCATGGCTGTTTTATTCACTACATAATTCAACATTTTCTGCAGTAACTGGTAATATTAGATCAGATCTCACAGGAACCATAAATCTATGTCGATGCATACTGCATCATGGCTTTAAGTATTAAAATAATATTTAAGGGATCTGAATGGTTTAAATATGTTATATTTATTTTATTAAAAACTGCATTTTATTGAAAATGTATGTATGACATCTCTAAGTGTCAGAAATAAACATAGGTAGTTATAATACTTACAGGTGCATTGTTAGAGCCACGTGTCTCACTAAAATGACATTAAAATGAAATGATGAAAAATGAAAGAACATCTGTATTATAATAAAGTGCCAATTATGAAAGTGCAAATGAAGACAAATGTTAAATATAGTCTGATTAGTGGTGCGGTTTTATTGCTGTTCGATAACTATTATTTCGTCTTTGTTTCTGTTTAGGACTTTCGAAAATGTAGTTATATATTTCGAGACATTCATCGATCTGATACCATTATCTTTTGTGTTGGGATTTTACGTCAGCCTTGTCATCGGGAGGTGGTGGAATCAATTTGATGCCATTCCCTGGCCAGACAGGTGAGTAGGTTGCAATTTCTTAACTTTGAAACAAATTGTTCCAAAAGTAGAAAATGAGCATAAGGAAATTATAATCCAACAAATGACATTATTGTGGCTTTAGTGATATTTAAAAGGCACACAGAAAATTCTTTTGTTTGTCTGTCTTTTACATCCGCGCAATAACCAGACGGAAATTCTTAGCAGCTGCAAGCTTGAAAACTTATAAAATGACTTTGAAATAAGGAAATAAAGATTTCAGTTAGATGAATTCGTTTTAAATTTAGGGTTATTAGACCTTTGTTTAAATTAATTACTCACTGCTTGCTTTAGCCTCAAGGATAATGATCTCGAATATTAAACTCGAATGATATTTGAGATAATTAGCCCCTGATGAATCCGTCACAAACTTTACATTGTGAATAATGAAAATGAAGTTTGCCATAAAATATTATCGAAAGATTTTTTAATTAGTTAAAAATTTTTTAAATAATTCATTTTAATTTATATTTTGTTTATTAAATCTTTTTGCTGGTTACAATAGCTCTTTTTACAAGCTTATTTCACTCCTTCGGATAGTATAATCTTAATTTTTGATAAATAAAATTTAATCAATTTCATCCAACTACACTTGCGCAAATTTTACTCACCTTATTAAATTGTTGTTAAAGTACAAACACACACTTTTTAAAAACGTCACAAAAATTATTCCAAGTCTTATATATAGGACCTTCACGATCAGAGAGTCCGTTACTAGGCAGTCGTAAAAATAGTGATACTATTTGAGAATAAAGTAATTATATAACGTTTTGTAAGCTCGAAAAATATTCAATCAAATGGATATTATAAAAGAATGAAATAAGATCTCTCCAAATAGGACAGTTTTTCGATACTTAACGTATTTATTGCAAAACTTCAATAGAAGTCACCAAATTTTCACAATGTGTGTCAGTTGTGCCTATAAGAGGTTCTTCAAACAGCTATACTCGTAACAATTCTTCAATATACGTCGTGGATATTCTTTTTGTTGTATTCCAAGTTTCAGTTTATAGACAAATCGTGATATTTTTTTGTCCTTAAACTGTTTTAAAATCTGTGCTTAACGATTTTGCTAGGAATGGAAAAAACTGGGGAAATTTCTGCAGGAATATAATATTTTGCCTCAAAATCGGTAGAAATTTTTCGGTTGTTTGGAATCGGTTGTTAAGGCGATCGTCATGAAATTTCCGACTGACCAAAAGAGAAAAAAAGCTTATAAGAATATTTATTGATTTATTTTTGAGATAAATACTTAATTGGAATGTAAAATTTAGATGAAATAAATATTTGGAATGACTGGATCATGAATTACATTGCCATTCGTTTTCATTTGTAAGAAACCGCCGAACTGAGTCGTTTAATTTAATACCCAACTACCCATTTTTAAGTTCACGAAGGTCAATGTTTGTGAAGTTGTTGGACTATATCAGATAAAAGGCAATGTCAACTAATATACGAATGATTCTTTTAAAAGAATTCTAAAGCATTTCTTTTCCATCATAATGAGAAATTTTATGAAATGCTAATTTTACTGCCAATTATGGATACAAGTGAGACATAACAATACACGCGTAACATCTGCGCTTTGGTTTGATGTAACCCCGATTGATTCTTGGTAAGCTACGTTTCGTTTTTATGAACAAGGCTACGAATCAACTGTTACTGCTGTAAATTTTCCCTTCCATTTTGAAAAAGTGATTACAGTTTAGGGCCTATCTCATACAGGACAGCAAGCAGGGGTTATTTTACAAAGTTATAGGATTCTACCATAAAAAATGTGTATTAATTCAAACGAAATGGTCACCTGAATGTGGCCAACAAAACAGTAATACATTGAAACAATTACCAACAGAAAGTTTGTACTCGTACCTTTCTAAGCAGAACCTAACAAAATATTATAAATCGAAGAAAGCCTTTTTATGAAACACGGAAAGAAATCTGTACCAAATACCAAGATCTCGAGAAAAGAGAAAGTTAAGAGGGATTTAGTGAAAATTAGTTAAAAAATTAATACTTGATTCGTACATAAGATGCTAATAACTCAATCGCAAGATAGATAAGAATAAATAGGATTTTGAATTACAGTGAAATTCAGATGTAATGAATTTCATATGACAATCGATAGAATTCCTTAAATCGAGAATAGTCTTTGAATCGAGTGATAACGAGTTAGCTTTACAAGTATGCAATGAAAGCAACTTGTATACTTACCTCGGTTTGAATGTATTAGTGAAGAGAATAAAGGGAAATTATTTTGAACGCATCTTTCCTTTATTAATGAAAGACCTTTTAAAACTTAATTTACTCTATTATTCTTTAGAGTAAAAATCTGACATTTAATTCTTGCTGAATTCACCAATTTTTACCAAAGTTATCTCTTTATTGTATTTTTCGTCAGAAATTTTTCTGCAGTCCCTTCTGCAACAGAAAGAGAATTCGCCAATGTGATTTGATTTTATACTCATTGTCGACATCAGGCCTACCAACTGCACAAGCGGTATAATCACTAAACACTGGTAGTTCGACCGTTGTTCGAATTCTGGCAAACTGGTTGGCTGGGAATTTTCGTGGTTTTCCTCATGTGCAGCATGGATACGAGCCAGTTTACTTAGAATGTTCTCCATAAAGGCATCTCTCTTCTTAGGTCGATAGCCCGCCTGTGCTATACCATAGTTAAATAAATCAAACCAAACCCTTCTCGACTCGAATCTATAGCCTTACCTAGTTGCCATCACATTGTACCTCAAACAGACCAATCAATAAATGCAAATACGCATATACACATACTGGAAGGTCTGTGAAATGCTATTTTAGCATTTTACTTTATCGTTTCAGCTATTTATGACGGTATCGCATTCGATTAGACCTTGCAAAGAAAAATCTTGTTTCTGTAAGGCAATTACTAACAATGGGTTGACCTTACTTTTTGTTAGTGTTTCTTTAAGCACAAGTTCATATGCAAATATTCTTAAGTTTCTTCGTATTTATCCATCATTAGTAGATTTTAATGACCTTTGTTCAACTTAATAGCAGAGTTTGTACATGTGCCGTACTCTACAATATGTTATGAACTTATTTTTTTTAATACGAAGTTTCGGTTTTTCGAACATTTTTCCTTTAGAAGTTTACTCAGGTAAGGTGTCTCCCTTTCTTTCACCAGCTACCAGTTCTGTTTTTCATGGGAGTCATATCTCGGTACTCTACAAAATCAGGCCAGCCCACGGAGACTTAAATTTAGTTACCCTAGAAAATAACAAAGGCAGTCTTAACGAAAAATCTCAATGTCCAGGTCATTTTTGAATTTTTCCCTTCTTTGGAAGAAGGATATATATCTAATAGCTCTCAAAATAGATGATTTTATTTAAAAATCTATGCCAAATTAAGATTGCTTTTTTTTTGCCTAATTTTTAACAAGGAAAATGCTACCATAACCTAATTCTTGATGTCACTTTTTTGTACTCGTAAATGTGGGTCTGCCTCCAACAAGTCGGAACATAAAACTGTGCTCAGCGTTTTCTAACACACTGCATATATCAGTTGAGAGCTGATGCATTTTTCTATTGCTCAGCCTGTCATTTATAACTAAGTATTCTTATATTTTATTTCATTTATAACTTATTTTCTCAGAGCTGGCGCTGCCGGCCTCCGATGGAGAGATTGAGGTGATCCGAGTTTTTAAGAGAAGAAGTGAAAATTGGTTCCTTAAACCATTTCTTAAACAAGCATTAAAAATTATTTAAGTATATAGACGCTATAGTAATGCATCTTTACAACAATTATGCCAAATCATGTCACCTGTTCTTCAAATTCGTTTAATCAAAAACAAAGTCCAACATTAAGAATCGCATGATCAGCATGATATTTAAACTAAATTATGTTCGTTTAAATTGCATGTATGCAACAGTTCTTTTAAATGGTAGTACAACGAAATGAATTTCGTTCTGCAATGGTAAGTTGTCACAGTAAAAACTTATTTGGTCTGAAAACACTTTTTGTCCGCTTCAAATTTAGTTTTCCTGCCTGACACTGCATTGCCCCCTCTCTGCGAAGTAGAAAACCTATTGTGTTAAACCACAAACCCTGTGGTGCCGAAACGCAAATCACTTCTAAGCATCCGAAGAAGAGAGGGGCAGTTTGTTCTTCAGTAGAACTTCAGTGAAAATTCCTTTGGCTACTTCTTTCCTAGCGCTGATTGCTAGCAGTGCTTTGGTGGTGGGTAGGAAAATATGCTTTGCAATGAAAATTGGAGGTATTTTATTTCTAGCATTGGCTAATCACATGTTGAATGTTTGAGGAAACCGAGTACACTCAGCCGAATCACTGCGTGATAGTTTTCTCAAAGTAAACTTACAAAACTCTAAAATATACTCCGCCCACTAGCGGCTGAGCGGTAAAGACGCTGAACACTGGTAGTTCGGTCCGAGGTTCGAATCCCGCGAACGGGCTGGCTGAATGGGCGTTTTCGTGGTTTTCCCCATGTGTAACGTGTATACGAGCCAGTTTCCCTTAGAAAGTCCTCCACGAAAGGCATCCCTCCCCTTAGGCAGATAGCCCTAGTGTGCTTTGCCATAATTAAATACACCACACCTAAAATATACTCCCTTGATCTTTTTGCTACTGTATAAACTTTCGGCTACATTTGAAATTTGCGCTTAACAAACTGAACGATTACTTGAAAATTTTGGTAACAAAGGGCTATGTTTGCTTGAACAAGGAAGTGAAATTACAATCTATCAGCCCAACATTCTCCCCACAAGACCACATACCTGCGCTTAAATGACATAATTTTCAGTAGCGAGCTCTTTCAACATGCATTGTTTCTTAAAAGTTCAGGTATTTTGCAATGGCAGAAATCTGCCCGTTTTAACTTTTTTTTTTTTTGGTAATAGTTATAAATACGCTAGAAACTTTAGTCACTATCAGTCTATATCTGAATTCCGTGGCAAGTTTTAATTAATAGTTCATTGCAATAGATATCTAGAAATTTCCCAGCGTAGTCAATCAGTACCCATAGATCATTCAAAGGACTTGATACATAATTATTAAAAAAGTAATGGGCATTTGGAAATATGAAACTTTCAAAAGGGATAGGGTGAACCTAAAAAGTTTGGGAAACTGCACTGAAGACAATTTCTTTTACGATTTGTTTTCCATTGTATCTATTATTGTTATATGAATTATCACTTTATAAATAGTGTAATAGACTGTTAGTCTCCGTTCTATACTTTATTTAGAACGAAACTTACGCACCAAAGGTTGCTTCAAAAGCACTGGACGATTTGAATACCTTAGAGATTTTTCGTAGAAACATAATTCCAGTTCAAGAATGAATCAAATAAAACAGGTTTCTATACCGGGAAGAAATTTCTAATTTGTAAATTGCTCTTTGCCTTTCAAAAGATATGAAAAATGTTTCTATCTCCTAACACATGCAGTATTAGGTTTTGAAAGCGTTTCAAAATGAAGTTAACTTCACAAATTTTCATCAAATAAAAAGCGCTAAAACATTGATTTCAGAAGTAATATGAAAACTAAATGTCACTGGGGGAGGTACTGAACTTTGGTGTACAGAACAAATAATCCAAACGTCATAATAAAATATCTTTATGCTTTTCTGATGTAAAATATACGCTTTAGGAATTTGTATTCTAAATTGCATCTTTAGCAAAATTTGAATACAGTCTTCCCCATTACCCCAAATTTCTATTAATGGTATCTCGGATAATTTTGATTGCACGAGGATAATTTTTTTACATTTTATTTCAATATCTTTGTGGACGATATCGACAGTATAGACCATTTCGATGATAAATGTTGCCCAGGGTACACTCCATGGAAATAGTTCCATGTTGTACTCCTCAAATTGTTGGATAGCATTAAGACGAAACGGTGGAAAACTGAAGATCTTGCTTGCCTGCCAGAATATCCACGATGTAATGCTGTGTTCCTTTTTCGGCTACTTACCAGGCTATGATTGCCTGGGCGAACCTCTTTACCGAATTGGTAAACTTGCTCAACCATTTTGCTCAATATATAATCTTATGAAATCCATGAACAGAGATCACTTTGTTGCTGTGGGGCACGTCTTGGTTATGACTTCGAGGTCACTGTATAAGACAGTCGTCTTAAGCAATGACTTTCGGTAACTTCTGTTATGTTCTTTGAACTTAACAGAACTTATTTTGCTTGGCCCTTAGAAATAGAAAAAATTCAATATTTCAGGTACGAAAACATCTGCCTTCAAGAACTTTTTAAAATTTTTTTTGCTAGCCAGCATAACGAATTTAAATATTGCATATTTTTTTCTTTTTACAAAATGGTGTTATCAATCCAAGATTTTTTTAGCCTAAAACTGTTTTGTTTCATTCATTTCTTTTGCTTATTTATGGCAAGTCATCATAATCGAGAAATCTTTCCGAAGCGTTCTGTATTATAACAGAAATAATATGTAATAATATCATGCCTTTAGTTGAAAGTCTTGTATTTTATATTTTCCAGGTTATGCTACATGATAGCAGCTTACGTCCACGGTGCAGACGAGCGCAGTCGTATGATACGTCGAACACTGGGACGTTACTTAATTCTTCTACAAGCCCTCACTTTCCAGGCAGTGAGCACTGCAGTAAAGAAGAGATTCCCTACGACCGAACATCTCGTAGAAGCAGGTTAGCTTTAACTATATATATATATATATACATAATGTACTCTCGATGTCCGAGCTTAAGCAAGTTAACGGATGAACTATCAACTTTTAAGTATATTGCATGCGTGTGCTTCTTAAAAAAAGATCAGTAATTTTACTTTGTTTTTGAGAACTTAAAAATATTCGGAAGTCTGTGCTGTCTCGAGACTAATGTAATTGTCAGCATCTTCTGCGCTTGCACTTTCAGTATCACTCTCTGCCTCTTCTGTTCCTGTGACATTTATAGGCAGATAACCCTCGAGCGTTTTGCCCTAACCATGCTCAACAGAATAGTCCATCAAACCATTCCTCGAGGTTTTCCCAATCGGCAATTTTTAAAATCATGAATTTGGGAGGAAAATTTGAAAGAAGTATATGAAAGCAAAAGCAAATATTTATTAGCAGCCAATCCGCTAATATGGTATCTCGGTCGAAACAAACTGTTGTACAGTTTTTTTGGCATTTGTCTGACACACCAGCAGCCGAGAGGTTAAAACTGCTGAATACTGATAGTTCGTTGCAGGGTTCGAACCCAAGAAAGTAATCTGCATGGTTGGCTACCATGCTTTTTCTCATGTGTAAAGTGACTAGGGAGCCAATTTTCTATAGAAAGTCCTCCATTCAGACATGCCTCATTTTGTGCAGATAATCCCTTGTGTGCTTTATATCATGCTTTTTGTTATTTTAATATGGCGATATCTGTCCAAGCAACTCATCACCATACAATCACTGATGTTTCTATGTTCCAAAAGAATAATATTTTGCAATGGAGTCTGCGAGACTCGAAGCAGTTTCAGCCAGCGACAAACAAGACTAAATTGAAAAAATATTCAGTATTTTATTATTACTAAATTTGCAATATTTCCTAAAATGTTTAAATAATTTCTAAAAAAGATTTTTTAAATAAAACGCACTAAAGCTTTTATAAATTCTGCCCAATTTTGTTTCTTCTGCATTAAAAAATAGAAAGATTTACGAATGTATTGGAAAGAGGATACATTTTCAAGTTCAAAACTGTTGTTCAAAATTATGGCACCACAAATTAAAAAAAAATCTGATGTGGACACTATGACTTCCTTTTACGACCTATTAAATTAACTCATTTTTTTGCTGCACTTCATTTAAACTTATTTCTTCGAATTTCAAGAGATGTATATTATTCAATAAATTTAGTTCTCACTTGTGGGGAAGCAAAAATGACATAAAAAACTCAAAATCTCATCTTCATTAAAAATTGTAAGATACAGGAAAATGCAAAACATCGAATATAGTTAATTTTTTTTTTGTGTTGCAATACTTTCTACGGGAAACCAAGCATTCGGAAAACTAGCAGAAGGACAATTTTTGGTGAAGAAAAATGAAAAGTTAACGTTTGGTGCCACTGTATAAGACTCTGAAGTTGGTGCACTGACTAATTATACTACTAAGAATTTCAAATATAAAACAAATAGCCACCCTTTTAGGCCTAGCGAGACTTACACTTTTGAATAGTTAATTTTACAATTATTGCATGTAGATTAACTAAAGGCATAAAAAACCTTAGTTGAAATATAAGGACAACATAATTCAATCACTTTTAAGCAAAAAAGGCACAAGTTATCATATGAATAAAAAGCAGAACTCACCGAGCTAGGTGACAGGGTGGGTATATATATAGTATTATATATATATATATATATATATAAATATCTACATATATATATATATATATATGTATGTATGTGTGTGTGTGTGTGTGTGCACACAGGGTGATTCTAAATAGTTTTTACAAATTAAGAGGGGTGATAGTACTCAATAATTACCATAGAACGCTTATTTTAGAATTACGCTTTCTACTCTGAGAGAAGAAAGAGGAATATTAGAATTCCAACCTGAAAACATATAAAAGTGTTGGAAGAGCAAATGAACGATATCAAAAGTTGCACAATCAGTTTAGTGAAAAACTCAGTGCACAAAACGGATAAAACTTGGCGTTCGAGTGTTTATGTGAGCTTAGACTTTGATGGCAAACACTTAAATGCAGATGTTTGGTTGGCAAGGTCTCAAGGTTGTAACTTAATATACACATTTCTTGCTTGGAACATTTTTATAATAATTTTTAGAGAATGTTATATAAATAAGGTTATCAATTTATGATTTAAACACTAAAATTATTAAGAATAATTGTTATTGCATTAACAGTTTTTCATTATGCTTTGTATATTTTTATTAATTTACAGTTTATTCAGTAAATTTCTAGCAACAAACTGTTAACCTTTAATGATTTTGGAAAGATCAAGTAAATGATTTTTGAAATGTTCAGTATTTTAGTTATGTTGTGTAAATATTGTTAAAACTAGTTTATTAAATAAGCTGTTAGCAATAAAATATTCTCTCTCATTTTTATGGCTCTAATTGTAATCTCATATTGTTTATCACTAATTTCAAAAAAATTATGAAACACGATACGGAGTAATTTAGCTTGCCCTCCTTCTCATTAAAATTTCTGATGGGACTGTCCCATTTGACGACACATGAGGCCAAAAAAAATTTTCCGAGGAATGAGCTTGTCTGCAGCCTACCATTAGAGGATTTCTAACGGAAACATATTCTGTTGAAAGCTGTGTCCCGGCCTAGCTAAGCGGGACTTCCTGAAATTGAACTGAAAATGTTTCATTTGAATCGGCTTCCCTCGTACGATTTCTCTAAAGAACTAAATTTTCACAAAAGTTAACCATTCAAATATCCTACTAATAAAAATTCTATAAGTAATAAAAATTCTGGGAAATATTTCTACAGACGCGCTGTTGAGGGTAGCTTGCAATTGTGATGCCAATTTAACTCTTCAGAGAGTAAGTTCCATAGCCTTTAATAGACAATGTGCATTGTTTTCGCATGTATTCTTTAATTATCAGAAGCTTGTCCTCCTCTGACACTTTGCCAAGTCACTCAAGACGCGAGTATCAGATAAAGAAGCTTACATTTGAGAAGTTTCAAACGGTTAGTGAGGTGTTAGTTGCCTTCGTGGCTATATTGGTTAGCGAAACTTCCTGTCATAACGTTGCTCCCGCGGTCAAATCCCGGACGAAGGCTCGATGTCTTAAGTATAGAGTGCCTCGCAGCATGAGGCCCACCAGCAGCCGAGAGGTAAAGTTGCTGAACACTAGTAGTTTGGTCCGAGGTTAGAATCCCCCGAACGGGCTGGATGCATGGGCGTTTTTGCGGTTTTTCCCATGTGTAACTTATATATGAGCCAGTTTTCCTTAGAAAGTCCTCCACGAAGGCATCCCTCTTGAGGCAGATAAACCTTGAGGCTTTTTCATAATTAAAAATAAAAGCCTCGCGGCATGGGACACTTAAAACACAAGGTGAGACTAAAGTGCTCTAGAGAAGCTTATTGGTAGGAAAAAAGAGGTACGGAAACCATTGGTTCTCTCCCCCGGGTGAAGTCTCCTTCAAAATAGGGAGTGAGCTGGCCAACGACGCTTGCTCCCAAGATAAAATATTGCTGTCAGGCAATCGAAATAAATCAATAACAACAGTAAGTTGTTAAGTTTAATTATTTTTTTCAACTGTTCATACGGTTTTACTCCTTTATTTTAGCAGTAATGTAAACCATGGAAAGTAAAGAAGATATGTAAAATAAATGAATCTTACAGAAGGGATCATACCTGGTAGATACTCCTATCCGAATGACATACGCATTTGGTATATAAATTGTGTTTTACATAGAAGGGAAAGTGTATAAGGAATTATCTTTTTCTGTTTTCTTTAGGCCTGATGACTAAGGAAGAATGCACAGTGTATGAGAATCTTGTCGCTCCTTACGGCAAGTGGTGGCTTCCAGCCCAGTGGTTCAGCGCCTTGGCCATGAGAGCTAGGAAAGAAGGACGAATAAAAGACTCCATATTATTAGATGGTTTATTCAGGGTGAGTTATTTTTTTAATGATCTGGAGATTTTACTAACACCAGAAAGGATGCTGCTGTTTCAGCATCAAAGCTAATTTCGAATATTCTCAAACGTTCTCCTCGATTTTGCTTGATTCTTCGTACCTATTTTCCATATTTTTGAGTTGAAGGTCTGCCATTATTCAGTAGTGCTCAGGAGATTAAGTATACATTGAAGCTTATATTAGCTTAATAATTGAAGCTTATATAACCTTATAAGGCTGCAAAGTTCTTCTTGGCCTTCATAATTAAATAGTAAATTTGTTTATAAGTCTTTTATGTTTACTTATTATCCTGTCGAGTTGGCGGATTCCCACCAAAGTTGCGTCTTTCGTTCCTGCCGAATTCTGAAAGAACTGAAACCGCTTTGTTTAATATTCGACCCGTCACTGTATCCATCACTGTCCTTATCAAAGCCGCCGTCGAATAAGTCTTTAGGAATATCTAAAACTGTAAGATGTAATCGTATACTATAAACCTGATGTTTAAGTTTCCAGAATTTGATTTCTAAACCGCTTTGGCAGCATTAATAAAGAAGAACCCACAAAAATTAATTGTGTATACTGTAATTTTTCTCCATTAATTGCAGAATATAAATTATATCAATCAGATATATAATAAAATTAAAATACAAAGATATGAAAGATTAAAAAGATGCGGCTATTATATTTAAATCGTTAGTTTAATTGTACAAAAACTAAAATTTATGTTCTTTTCTCAAGGCAGTATTCAGTGGAACGGCAGTATTCGGGAAAATACATATTTGGCAAATTGCATGGTATTGATAAAGTACTCGTCTCGTGCAGGGGCAACAGATGCCAAACCACAGTAATAATAAAAAAAGGTTGACACTGCGTGACGTACGACCCTCTGAAATTGGAGACGCTCTACAGTTGACATTTTTAACGACAGAATTCGGATTCTTCGGGATCGGTTTATGATAAGACCTCGGTTCTGTTTGTTTTAATCATTGCTATCTTTTTTTTCCCGAAAGGTTCCGATAACTAAAGCAAATATGTTGAAAATGATATAAGATTAGAAAGTTTTTTGTTTGGTAAATAAATGTATCCAAAAATGCCACAAATCTGTATACTAAACACATAAACTATAGATCAGGCTTAAGTGTGCTTTAAGATGAAGTGGGTAACGAAGATGTTGCAGTGTATTTCGGAATTTCCGTAGCATGACGAATTTAATCCAGGAAACTTAAAACATTTTAAGAATGATTGCTCTAGTGTTCAGAACTGTTTATTTCAGTATTATTTGTTAAATAAGACAGTTTATTCACGTTTTCCTATCAACTCCCTCCTGGAGAAAAATTTAAAAATAATTATTTTATCCATAAAATCCCTACTTATATTTCAAAGATGCTGTCAAATGCCTGCTTAAGGCTAGTTTTCCAGGCATTCTTTATTTATCCCTTCATTATCCCACGAATTTGACAAAAATGTAAGAAAATGTTCCTTATCGCTATAAATATTCTCGATCTGAGTGAAATTAACGAATATACAGTCAGCCATTAAATACTTTGTGCTTTTTATATTGACAAACAATACAATTAGTAATTAAATGCTTTGTGTATTGACAAACATTCTAAAAGACGGTGGACAAATTTATTTTAACTGTGAGTGGTAAGCATTATTACAATATGTGGCCATTGATTTGAGATTTAAAGCACACATTTAGTTTCAGTAGTCATTTTCATATTAATTCAAACGTTATTTTTTTGCTTGGATTTCTCTTGACTTAATAGTGCCCATCAGCGGCCGAACACTGGTAGTTCGGTGCGGGTAATCTTGGCGAATGGGTTGTCTGCATGGGGTTTTTCGTGGTTTTGTCCATGTGTAACGTGTATATGAGCCAGTTCTTCGATAAGCACTGGATAGTAGAGGACGAGGGGCATACACTTGCTTACCTCTGGTAGACGCCAGGTACCCCAGTTCTGCGTCCCCACCTGTAAACGAACCAGTTTTACTCTGTTCTCGCCTTGGGTAGATAGCTCTTGAGTACTTTGACGTAACTAAATAAACTGAACCTCTAAACTTAATGATTTCTCGTTTATTAGGAATTCGTCTTGTTTAGAAGTGCGTGTGGAACCATGTTCAACTACGACTGGATCAGTGTGCCTTTGGTCTACACTCAGGTATGTATTTGGTTATTTTTTAAAGTTGTGCCATTTAAAATCCTTGTGGTAGTTATGTATGTTAAATGGGATATCTTTAGCGGTTAACATTTAATTATCATGCAGCAACAACCAATTGTATAGTTTGCTACTGAAGAATCCTTTTGAATTAATGTGCAGGTATGCAGAATGCCCGAAAATATTGCTATCTAAATTCTAAACATTTTATTGCCTGGTGTAGTCACACTGGTTGCATATGCTCTGCCGCCGATCCTGGGTATATATACTTAAAAAGTTAAGGTTCTTCGGAATCCGCCTACCGATCAGAGGCACGGGACCGTCGCACGCCCCACGATACGCCTTGACATAAAAGTACCGAAATCCTTAAGATGCTCAGTTAAGGCGTCCCCTTCAAAGATATACTCGGACACATTTCTCAGAATCTGGGGGCCATAAATCGATTTACAGTATGCTATATACTAATATATGTAAAGTGTATTAGTATATAGCATATTAGTATATACCATTAAAACAAAACAGGAGTAAACTTTGAGTCTCATCTCAAATAAAATAAGAGTTATGTAAAGTTAGAAGATTGTTTGTTTGATAAAATACGAAATATATGTGCAGGTTGTTTTAATCTTAAACCAGTATATAATACATACGTTGTTTACATAATTTCTGAACAATTTCGATAAAGAATTTTAGAAAAAGCAAATGTTTTTGTAATAAAAATTTCTGGCCACAGATTATTTGAAATGAAAATACCGTCTGCTGGTTTTATTCTTTTTTCAAAATGTTGCATGTAAACGGGCTGCGGGTTGAAGGATATGTTTTTGCGCTTTCCGAAAAGAAATGTTCCTATTACATATAATTCAAAAGCCTTGTAAAACGCATGGTATTAAAATTTCTAAGTGAAAAATAAGCAACATTATGAATCGGAAAGAGAAAAACAATCAGTCATTACTTCTAATGGAGAGCAGAGTCTAAATGAATACCCGAAAAAGTTATTTACTGTTTCTAACTGTTCTAAAATTGACTAATTTCAACATTATTAATTTAAGCAATATTATTAATGGGAAAGAGAAAAACCCTCAATCACTATTTCTAATGGAAAGGAGACTCTAAACGAATACCCATAAAAGGTATTAATTGTTTCTAATGGTTCTAAAATTAAATCGTTGGTAACAACAGAAAATTCACTGACTTAGAAATCAACTTCAGTCTTTAAATACATCTGTAGCAACATTTAATAAAATAAGATTTACAATTTGAAAAAGCTAAAGAGCATAATATTCACCAACTTTTCCCAGACATGTGGTTCAACACAGAATAATTTGTAGAATCCTGCATGAATACTACCTATTAGATAAATTTAAATACATTATGACCCTTGATGAAGAATGGGTTTATTTTAACGACTGTAACAAAAATGATCTATTTATTGCCGGAAATAAAGACAAAAAATGTACAAACCTGGCCACATTAATGCAAAAAATGTTTCAGCAAGGGTTTATAATTGTCGCAGGATTCCCTTATAATGGGAAACTCAAAATAAGAGTAGGGGAAAGTATTGAAATCAGCCTCAACATACTATCAAGAGAAAATTTTTCATCCGATATTTACAGAAGAAATTCCCTTCTGGAATTCCTTAAAAGGAGGAATTCCCTTTACAGAAGAAATTCCTCCTTTTGAATGCCATTTTGAGTCTCAATGGCATTCAAAAGTGAAATTTCATCCAGATAAAGCAAGAAGTTGTATTTCGAAAACCACCAGTGTATTCCTGAGAACAGGAAAACTGATATAGGTATTTCATATATACTTTTTTGAAGTATTACTGCGAAGACAGACGTTTCACCTATGGTCTCATGAAAAAAGCTTTAAATGCGCAATCTCACCACAATGAATGAACTCTGGAAGCTAAGTGGAAAAGGAATGGAAATCAGTCCCCTTGGAAATGTCACGAAAAGCTCGTCAATCATTGAAATTACGATTCAGACTTACAGTTTAGAAGAAAGGCTATCAGTTGAAACATTTAAAATAAAAGCACTCTTTTCATTTTAAAGATTACCTAAACTGCTCCGAAATCGCTTTAACACTATGTAAAACAACCTCGGTGCATAAAAGTATTTGGTCGGGTTTCAGCGTTGCTACTTAATTGGGATTGAAACAAGCCGTAATTTTCCTTATGTATAAAATGAAATGAGCGTTTTTCTTAAAACCTCTGACTGCACACTTCTCGGTTTATTAATCTTTTTAACTCACAGTTAGGTATTTTTCAGTAACTTATTGAACAACAAACTAGCTTTTTTGTGTCCAGTTTATAATATGAAATTCCGTGATGATTGGACACGCACTTCATATAACTCCCTCCAGTAAAAATAACACGTGGAAGAAACTGAACACCACAAAGTCCAAATTATGCTACTTTGTATACTTTACTAAGAATGAGGCACAAGGAAAGCAAGGTAATTTGCTGACGAAAATTTCCGCATTTTATGAGATTTACTTGATATTATTATTCAACAAAACATTCTGACAACCATCTATACCAAACCCTTATTTTGCGTAATAGATTTTGAGTAAACAAATCGCGTTTTTTTGAAGGATATAAAAGTGTCGCTTTTTTTTTTTTCAATAAGCGGCAGATAAAATGAAGCATATTTGCGGAGCATTCACCCCCCCTTTCCCCCCACAAGTTCACCTGACGTGTAAAAAGTGATTATGTTTTGGCCAAATATGTGCCCTACCCGTAAAGAAAACATCCTTAAGTTGATAAAATGGATTGCAATTACATGACTGAGTTCGAAAAGAGCGAACAAAGAACAAACTACGCAATAAATGAGAACCATTCTGCTGAAATACTTGGTCTGTAACGACGCATGAAAAATAGTCTGCTGGAAAAGCTACCATTTGTTCTGATTGGTTATACAGTAATATACGCGAGATTAAAAAAATATCATTTTAATTTATTTTTATGAAATTCTTTGATTCATTCGTGTAAAGAAATCGTATTGCAGTAAACGTGGTTTAATGTAATCGCAGTTAATATCATTCGGATATTGTTATCGAATTGCCGAAGTCCTGCTCGTGTGTATAAGAAAACGTGGGAAATATACCTCTTATTTTATTTACAATAATTCGATTAATGTGATAAAAATATTATAAAATAAATTACTTTTAGTAATTCTATCAATTTTGACAGCAATTAGACACAGGCCCCTCTTCTTCAGGGATAAGTAAAATTCTCTAAAAATATCTACGTCAGACTATCGCTGCTTTTTTGCTTAAGTTTAAATTTTATAATGATAAGTTCACTTCTATTGAAGGTTACAACTGGAATATTACGATTAAAAGTACAGTATCAGTAAAATAATTTCCAGAAACGTTATAACAGCTCGTAAATGAACTTAAAATGCTGTGAAAGTACCTTTTTTATGTTTCTAGTTATATTTGTATTGAGTCATAGACCTTTGTGTGATTACATGACGACGAAAGAATTCATTCATTCAAGCTCATTAATCATAGTGCAGATCCTGAAATGTTAAAAGATGCAAGAAAGGTGCCACTAAGCTTACAGAAATGGTGCATTTTCAGCTTTTTTACACTAGCGGAACGAAAAGGTAACACAAGATAAGCACTAACTTAATCACATATACAGACTTTATCAGATCTGAAAAAATGAATCTCTGACAGCATTATATTTAAGTGTACAAGAGCTGCATACAAGCGTGCTATTAAAGTTGTCTTTTACATCAAGGCTCTTTTTTATTCAACAAGTTTGGTTTGATTTTCCATATGGTCTATAATAGGATATTTAAGGCATTCCCATTATCAGCAATACGCAGGAGCAAGACTGTACTAGGCCAAACCCCATGTCACATGGATCAACGAACCCAGGACGTATAAGCGTTAATTCCATTCGCAACAAACAACTTCCTTTCGACAGTACTGTCTTCACCATCTAAAAAATACTGAAAATTGTCATCTTGCCATAAAACATATCCCCACCGGTCATCGAATTTTTCAACAAAATCTGAAATTTGGCTTCTTTTTTCTAAAGACGGATAAACCTGTGCTTTTCTTCAAACATGGGAGAAACACAAATCAAATATCGTCCTGTCGTCTCATCCATCGGCTAGTTCCAATATAGAAACTTCAGCATCAGCTCATTACGCCATCAAGAAGACTCTATACACTATCAAAATTCAGAGAGAAAAATAAAAACAGGTATACCTGATTTTCTTCAAATAAGTCTTGGAAATTCTATAGTGGCTGGTTATTTCAGGGAAACCCAACAGCATGAAAATAAAGGTCGACGCAAAGAAAATAATTGGAAACTGCAGCTGTCTGATAACAACAGAAGCAAACGGCTCTCTTTCGTAAGTTCTTTTCCGAAAGCCGAGTGTGCCTGCAGTTGAGTTCCTGTTTGTACCAACTCATGATGTTGTTAAACTCTCTCCTTGTCTATCGTAATTCGTTTAAACCCGATGGCAAAGTATTGCCTTATGCGGATAACTTTCTTCTTCTAGTCATTAGCGACGCCAAGGCAAGACTGGAGAAGAAACTAGAATAGGACAACAATAATAGCAACAGAGAAGTTCTATGTTCTAAGCCATGCATAACTACCCACCAAATAACTCTTTACAACACAAGCAAAATTATTGAAAATGAAAGAACTTGGCCACAAACACAATACTGATTATATACGCAATTACTCATTTTACATATTAAGTACCATTACTAAGGCTTCTGAGCTTGTGGCTGTGTACTCGGTGGAGTAATGTAATGTGAAACATTTATTCAGAAATGTTTCCTAAAATAGTTACGGCCCTGAGGTAAAATAACATGCCGAATAACGGTTACTGGGGATGTTAAAGCATCAAGAATCGGCGTAATATTCATAAATTTCTAGGATTAGTTTGGAAGGTATAAAATCTTCGAAATTAGTCTTGCAAACTTAAGAATATTCCACTAATTCTTTTACCTTAGTACCTCCAATAATAATTAGAGATTTAAGATTTCAGTTTTAGACATTATACTTAAGATTTCCACGTTTTAGATGAAATTGTTTGCAATACTGATGCTTTTCCTTTTGACTTTTATGATTCTAGGTTGTGACTCTGGCCACGTACACCTATTCTCTAGCTTTGATGGTAGGAAGGCAATACTTGGATCCAGAAAGAGTGGGTGACGCCAAACATAGAGTGGATCTTTATGTTCCGATCTTCACTTTGTTACAGTTCTTTTTCTATGTTGGGTGGTTAAAGGTATGCTCCTTTCTACTACTTTAAAATAAGTTTCCAAAATTTAAAAGTTTTTGAAGCTTGACAGCCGTATTAGATTTACCGGCAGTATTAAGCTCGAAAGGTATAACACTGATGACTAATATTGTTTTCAGAAATAAGCATGAAACTGTTAAGGAACTTTTTCTGGTTTACAGCGCTTTTGATCACTACTACAAAATATGTCCTTGGTGATTAAAAATTCTGTATTTAAGGCAACCGGAAATTTCCCTATCGTATGGATTATAGGTTAATCTCTTAAATACCTTTTTGCTCTTTGAAGAGCAATGTAACATCGTATATAAATCACTTTTCGGTGAGCATATACTGATTTCGACAGGAGAATAATCCCGATTGAGAGCAGACGTAAAAAGATCAATGTAGAATCTTACTCGAAATTTTATTTTGCCGTTATACAAATGAATTTCATCTAAAACTTCATACCGGAACTTTATCTAAAGCTGAAAGATCCATTATATTTCTACAATGCGAGGAATATAAGTACAGATTCTTCAATTTATTAAATAATGCATTTCGATAACTTTTGGTGGCAACAATTTGAAAAGTAATTCGAACAGAAAATGAAAATGAATTTCGTGGCTATGTGGAAATAATCATAAAATAAACGCAGGACGAGCGCACGCATTTAGGCCCAAGGGAAAAAAAATCACTCGAAAGTGAAAAAAAAACTCGATCTGCTTGAATGCAGAAATTTAAAAACAATGTATTTTCATCATATGAGAATACCATGGTTTGCTCAGTTATTTGCTGAATTTATCAAACAGCTTAAAGAAACAGTTTTATAGGTTTAAGTACTTAATTTAGCAAAGTTTGAATTTAGGAAGGAAAGAAACATATTCAAGGAACAGGAAAAGAACATATTGAAGTTTTAATTTAGAAGTCAAATAACAAAAATCAGCGATGTATTTGCGAATTTTCATAGGACTAGATTCGACGGTTTTACCGAACCATCACCCTCAGCTGCCAAAGAGCAAATGATCGAGACCGTCATCCTCAGCTGCTTTCTGGCAGCTGAGGATGATGGTTCGGTAAAACCATCGAAACTAGTCCCGTGAAAATTCGGCAAATATAACGCTGATTTTTGTTTGACTTTCTAAATTAATATTTGTTCGACGGGTTATTTTTACCTATATACTGATGTTTGTTGAAGGTACGCTATGCGGCTTGTGGGTTTAATTTGTATATTTTCTTCGATATTCCTAATTTTAACGATAATCCTTTAGGCGAACGCATTTGAGTTATATTGCTTATTTTTATCATAAGTTTGGGAAATAATAAAAATAATTCTTTCCATTCTACAGCAGCTCTGAAGATTTCATGAATTAATTTTGCATTAAGAGTACCACATTCTTTTTCATTTACAGGTGGCTGAACAAATTGTCAATCCGTATGGAGAAGACGATGATGATTTCGAACTGAATTGGTGCATGGATAGAAATTGCCAAGTAAGATTTGTTTTCTTTATTTCAATTTTTTGAATATCTGCACGCCTCCAGTTTCAATGTTCGGTGGAGCTGCTGTGATTTCTGTGTATATTCACAAGTTTTCAACTTCAGGGTATTTACCGCTTTATATTCAGCAGTCATGTCACTGAACAATAACTATCGACAGCAAAAATGTAAATATCGGTCACATTTCTTTTCTGTCATAAACTATTCTGTTTATTATAAAATTCTTGTTTTTATTATTTATAAACGGAAAAGTATCTAGAAGGCATAAAGGCAGCCAAACCTTGTTTGTCATTTTTTAAAGTCGCCAAATACGCATTGGCGATTTTTTGTAAGGGTGCGGATAATCGGAAAGTACTTTTATTACCCGACTGAAGTCACTTCGGTAGGCAGTTCTAAATGCATTATAATAAGTATGCTTTTAAATTTCTACACCGGCGTTCCTTAAACTGTAGGTCACAAAAATTTACTTCACACATACGAATTTAAAGAAAATGCATTAACGAGACTTTTAAAGAGAATTTGAAATGAATGAGTTTAATCATCTGCCACATAAGCCCAAGAGAAATCTGTTGATTTCTCGAGTGACTCAAATTTAAATCTGAGTTTCTTTCATAGAAATCTGACTGAAATCTGGATAGGAGGTAGAACTGAATTTCCAGTTTCTGAAATCCATTAAATGTTCTTCTGGCATTCAGCACCATATACTTACGGGAAACGACATTTTCAGCTTTAACACTTATTAAATCCAAACATCATTTAAATCTGAGAAACGCTGAAGATGCTTTACGTTCCGCAGCGTTAAATATTGCACTAAGATTTAATGTTATCTAACTTATCCGTCTTATTAAAACTGGATTTTGGTCATTATTACTTTACTTGTGCGAAGTAACAGAAATATTGTAATCGCTAAAAGTTTCGAGTATGATATTTTAAAGGAAATATTCATTTTGACCGCTTCCGAATCCATGCGGACAATTTTTTTTTTTTTTGCGTGTCATATTAACGTACGGACAGAATAGAGGTTCATTTTTCGAAAACGAACTATGAAATAGATTTTAGAATGGGTTCAGAAGGGATTTTTTCCGTGGCGTCTGGCCGTAAGTATGTAACGTATATATGGGGATGTATTTAACATAACTCAAAAACATTTAGCTGTAGAACGTTTGAAATCTTTGATATGGAACTGTTGTAATATTTAGTTATGCACTTTCCTTTTTTACTGCAATCGGAAATGCCAAACGTGTGTATATATATATATATATATATACACAAAAACACATTTTTTAACCAGCTTAAAAGGCCTTTATTTTCCAAATCGTAAGTCATAGTCATATATATCTAATAACAAAATTATTTTAAATCATGAAAATATTCGTGTTTTGGCATTGTTACATTTCAAAAAGTTAATTTTCGATATATAAAAAAATCTTAACTCTTAATGCGATCTTCAGATTCTTATATTTGAGAAAGTTATATGCTTGCTATGAAAAAATCAAAATATCCGAACTAAAAAGAGCAAAATTGTTTTAAAAATCTATATGATTTTTAACTAGATTATGCTGCATATCCATGTTATTTCAAAAGTGTGCAATCATTCTCCGAGTTTACTTAGAAAACTTAGATATCAGCAGTGTAAATATATCATTTGTGCAAGGAAACGTAAGTTAAATCTGAAACAGTAGAGTGGCTCCTCTTACGGTAGCATCTAGAAGTAATGTGGTAAAACAAAAGTTCATTCAAAATAAATTGCTGTACTTCTTAAGTTTATAGATTTTTATTAGTGAAACAAAAAGACACCTTCAATTTTCCTCCGATACTTCTAAGTGATCGTCATCTTCTTATATACGAGTAATTACATAAAAGCAGCATGTAGTTAGTCACCCTACACTTGCTCTAACGTGCTTTTTGCATGGATTATATAGCGGTAGCAATGCGATTTTCATGTACACTGCGAAAAAAAGACAGTTCTACATCTCCCGTTCTACTGGGCCGAATGCCGAAATTCAAATTGCTCGAAAGCGCGATATAGGATATATATTAAATTTATATATAGCACTGTTTTAATATAGGTACTTTGACACAAAATCGGACTTTTCTGAAATGACTTGCCAATTTTTTATATACATTGCTGGCCACCCAAACTGCAACACCAAGAAACACAGATATCACAACAAAATTTATTTAGTTGTGATATCTCTTGTTATTTTTGTTGACTAAGTATCAAATGATTAAATTTATGGACTTTTGTGAAGTGTGGTTCTTTCCAGGATGAGTAGCCAGAGTAGCCGCCATTGTTGGAGATCACCGCTGCCACACGCCTCGGCATTGATTCAAAGAGACTTCGGATGTGTTCTTGGGGTACAGCAGACCAAGCAGCTTCCACACGTTGCCAAAGTTGATCTGGTGTGGCAGCTTGCGGACAGACCACTCTGCTGTAAACGGCGTCGAATGGTACGCGCAGACACTGGATGATGCGTTGAAGACTGAATGTATGTGCTATGGTTCGCGATGTGATGAGTGATCCGTTTTGCCAGCGCACAATGTTCCTGTCATTAGTGAAGTGGTGCACTGAGGTGGATGCGATCGAAACACGTCCGCCGTCGTACCCTCCGAACCAGCGGTCCACATATCACATTACAGTTGTTTGTTTCGTTTCGCCAACACGACTACCGATTTCCCTGAAAGATAATCCACACTCTAGGTAGGCCACTATCGTTCCTCTGTCGAAGAGCAATCAAGTATTTAATAAAAAAAGAGATTAATACATATATATAAAATTCAATTAACATAGAAGCTAAACTTAAGAAGTAATATTGGATCAAACGATGATCGCTGTTTACTACGAGGCATAATTGATTTTTTTTTTTTTTAAATACCACCAAAAAAAAAAAAAAAAAAAAGCCTAACTTGAAATCGTCGAAAACTCCAAGCCTTAAATAGCGCTTTGGAGTGGCGCCACAGGCGCGTGTGACGTGCGTCTGCGCTGAAATTCTAATCATTTGCATATCTTGCCTCCGCTAATGCATGTTGTAAATTTCCTGTCATTTGCATGCTTCCTTCAGGGTATTGCATTTACTGTGGCCAGCAGTGTATTTTGATTCTACGACTCAAATTATGCCTAAATATTAAATTTCGTAGAATCGGATGCGAAATTTACGGAAAAATTCAAAAATTTATTTTGGCGCATTTTTTCAATTTTCACCAAGAATAATTTACTTGGTGATTTTCTTAATTTATAGCAACCTATTTTCCTTTTATTTTGTTTTTTTTTCATTGTAGACCGAGCGGAAAAAAGTCATCGTTCGTTATTTCAAACAATTTTAACGAAGCGCGTATTATCGTTTGGCGTTATTATCGCTCAAAAAATTATGCCAAATTTCAAAACGCTCCAATATGTAAATTCATGCGTATCTTTAGGAAATTTTGAATGAAAAAACTCGTTGTTTTTCAGGTGCGCATAGAACTATATCTACTTTAAGATGAAGCCTACCAGCGGCCGAGCGGTAAAGTCGCTGAACACTGGTAGTTCGGTCCGAGGTTCCAATCCCGCGAAACGGGCTGGCTGCATGGGCGTTTTCGTGTTATAATACAAATTTTTCGACAAATTGATAAAAGAATATTTAAAAATACAAATTTTAAAAATAAATCGTAAAAAGGTGCTCATTATATTTGGATTAAGCCTAAATTTTGAATTCTGGAAGAAGCAATCAAGTAAATTTAATAAAAAAGAGATATTAATAATTATATATAAAATTCAATTAACAGAAGCTAAACTTTTGAGAAGCGCCATTGAAAAAATTAAGAAATCGTTTTGGATAATCAGTTTCGAAAATTGGATGAATAATAGTATAACGAGTATTTTACTCAAGCTAAAAGTTAAAAATAATATCAGCAATTCGACTTTTAAGTGAGCCAAGATGGCAAACTCAAAAGCAGTTTTCCGCGAGAAAAGAGTTTTTCTCACATATGCTTCAGACAACAGCACATTTTAAAAAATATAGAAAATTGCTCAATTAATATTTCTGTGGTGGTTGTTTTAAGAGCAAAAATTTTGTTTTATATCTAACACTTTCAAAACCGATACATCTGATGCATTTTACGTATTGAAATTTTAAAATCACAAACATCGAATAGTCTAAAAAATTGAGCTACTTCCAGAAATTTAGAAATCAAGTTACAATTTTCATAAAAGTTTCATTGAAAAGATAAAAATTTAAATCTAATTTCTGACATTGTTTTTGCACTGTCATCGACAAATAGAGTGCGCGCAAAGTTTGAACTCGATAGGTTATCGGGAGGTACGTTAAAAATAGAAGACAGAATCCCACTTCTAGTGAAATATTAAGAGTGAAATAAATAAATAAAGGCTTATAATAAAACGTTTTTACCCAGCTGGAAAGATAAAAAAAAATTCTTTGTAATCAGAATATCATAGTCTAATTTATATCGAACTGTTGAGTGTACTGAACTGTTGAGTGTATAGAAATGGACGATCAATTTTTCCTTCATTACTAATATTCTGAAGTTTCGGCAATAATTTACTTTCTTCCGTCTCTAAGTGATCATCACCTTCTTATATAATTACATAAAAGCAGCATAGTTAGTTACCCTATACTTGTTCTAATGTGGCTTTTTGCATGTACTATATAGCGGTAGCAGTGCGTTGAAAGTTTAATTTTACATCAGATAGTATTGTAATTAAGCATAAATGATACAGAGCAAAGTTTCTTAAACTTTTTCAGTCGCTACTCCTTTTTATATCACCGAGATTCTTTCGCGACCCTCAGGATCCCATAATATTTAGGAAAATTTTGTGATCGCGTAAGCATTGCGCAAATCCGACACACGCGTATGTGAAACTGTCAATTTTTTCACTTGTACTGTAATAATATTGTAGTTTTAAGTCATTAACTTTAATTTCTAATTTTAAGACGTAGAACAGTGTGAATATTTTAAATTAGTAACAGACGAAATAACAGCGTCACGTGCAAAGCAAGTAAAAATAAACGTTTCTTTTATAAAAAGGAATGGGTCGAAATATTTTCCTTTTTTCTTTGTATTTTCTTATCTTTTATCCATTTCCAGATACATTGTGTAAAAATATTTGGTAATTGTAAAATTATAAGTGAAAGAAATATCAAAACTGTTAAATTTTTTGGCGACCCACAGTTTAAGAAACGTTGATATAGAGCAAACATAAGTTTAATTAATAACTTCTTTTACAATAATTTAGAAAACTGATAATTTTTTCCTTTTGGAACTTTATTTAGAACTTTGATGTATTTCTTCAGCTAATGGATTCATTGTTGGTAATGGTAAAATCAAAGATACTGCTATTCATCTCGTAAATTCATTGAGATGAAATCTCATTTTATTCTCGCTCCAGCTGATTTGTGGCTGTATCCGAAGATGAAAGCTCTTATAGTAGGTAAACTGGATGAGGACCAACATGACCCCATCAGAGCAATCGAGGAATAGCTATATAATTAGCAGCGACTTCGCTTGTCGTAAATGATATTTCAGCCTTCGAACTCGAAATGTGTTTTTGTTTTCAGTCTGATAATGCGTGGCGTCGGGTCAAGTTGGATGATCGCTTCAGAACTGATTCAAAGAAACAATTCGCTTTACTGAGCAAACCAACAGTTGATTCTAGAAAACGAAGTGGTGGCTTTTTTACAGTTTACCGAGAGTTCTTGGTGGAACAGATGTGCTATTAACATCGATAGAATAACCCAGGTATACATGTGCTATTCCATTACGAACTGATTCACCTTACTTACGAACTCCTGATTCGCCAAGAAAAGAGCGGAACTCTTGTTGGAAGCGTGCCAGAAAAGTTTGGTTTCCGTTTTAGCGGAGAAAAGAATGTTTATTCTCTCGTATATTAAGAGAGTTTAATTTTTCCATTTCCCAACATTTTGAAAATTTCTTTTCTCTATAATTTTATTGTTAGTTACAGGTAGAAAGGCGGTGTTAGGGAATCTCAAACTTGCAGCTGAAAGAAATCGGTTCTGGGAGTTTTGATTGAGTCTATTTTCCCTATCCCACTGCTTGTTCGATTCTTTCAGCTCTTTGCTCCATCCCCTATGTTTTTCCATCAAGGTATTGTTAGTTAATGGTGAGTGAGAAACCAGAGCTGATTTAGTTCAGTAAGGGAACGGCTTTGATCCAGACCCAAACAACAGCAGTTTTGCCAGTCTCTAGCGCACGGTCACTGTAGACTGGGTATTGGTTTGACCCTATTAAAGCAACGAAAAGCATTGAACTTAACCGACCTCCACTCATGGCGCTTTCTGGTGGCAAATATCCGTAACCCCGAAAACTATCTTAAACGTAAACGTGTTCTAACCATCGAATATATATAGCCCCATTAAACAAAAAATTGTACGGCAATAATCCTTGCGTCTCGAATTTCAGAAAGGCTATTTTCATGAATGTTGAAAAATGCTGAACTAAATTTTTGGAAGAAAACTACATAGTTAATAATTATTGCGAATTTTATTAAATAGGCCTTTTTGTCCTCACCATATGTTTATTAGCAATATGAATGCTTCACTTTCCAAACCGATTAACTCCATTTTTTGGAATTTTATTAAAATTTTAATATAGAAGCACTTCATTAGTTTCTAACTGTAAATATTCAAAACAAATTTCTCTAATAATAAGCATTAACACCACTAAATGACAAAATCGTTTTAGCCATTGAATAATAAATAATTTATGTCGGCAGCCAATCTGATTAACTCCATACTATAATGTATTTATGTCATAATAAAAATCTATTTAACCCGCCCCTGCACTATTTTTCCTCTTCTACGGAGACGGAGACATCTGTAAGGTGTTTTTTTCATTATTCCCGTTAGACGAGAGCTGTTATCGCTCACACGAACTAAGTGCGAGACAAATAAAATATAAATTAGTTGTATTCGAACTGCCACTAGTGAAGTGAAGATACTTATAAATTTCAATTTTATTGTGAATTTATTTAAAAATAATAAAACGTTATAACATTAAGATGGAAGATGTTAAGAATTATTTGAGTAAGGAAAATAAGGAATCGGATGAGTTCTTCAATACAAATTATTGGCAGAAAGCTCCGCTCAAGAAAACGATTTTGCATTCATTCGGATTCGTCATCTGATCACAGCAATGAAAAAATCGCAGAAAATAATTCGACTGGACAAAAAAGAAGCCATAATCCTGGTAAATGGGACCGAAATGTCCAAAGGCATAACAGAATAAAAGGTTTAGGATACAAAAATAGAAGTGGACGTTTAATATCTGAAAAAACATTTGCAAATCTGCCATGTCGATGTCGTCAGAAGTGCAATGAAAAAATCATTTCGGATGAAAGAAAAGCTGCCATGGATGCATTTTATCAGTTAGAGAGTCAAGTTGAGCAAAATATTTTAAGAGGGTGCATTAAAGTCAAAGAAATAAAAAGGCGTCCGAAGGATAACAGTAAAATTCCGAGATCACGTTCTTTCACGTATTATTTTCGAAGACTCGGAAAAGATATTTCGGTTTGCAAAAAATATTTTAAGGATACCTATCAGATAAGCGACGGGCGACTACACGGCTGCTGCTGTAAGGGACACGTTTCATTGTTGATTGATCATCGTGGTCGCCATGTTCCAGGTAACAGAATTGATGGAACATATGTTATAAAACATATAAACTCATTTCCCGCATACACAAGCCACTACACAAGAGCTTATAACCCAAGGAGAAAATACTTAAATCCGGACTTAAATATTAAGAAAATGTACGAACTCTACATCGCGCAATGTACAGAAGAAATTATAGAAACGGTGAAAGAAACATATTACAAGGTATTCTCGACTAAATTTAATTTGCATTTTAAGCAACCATCTAAAGATACATGCAAAGCTTGTGATTATCTAGAAATAAAAATTGAGTCTTCAGACACTGAGGAAATGAGAATTGCAAAAATCGAAAAGGACGCTCACTTGCAAAAGGCTGAACAGGCTCGTGGTCATATGGCTGCAGGTCGATGGCAACATCCGAAGACATTTTTGTATTTTCGTTTGACTTGGAAAAAGCTTTACCCTTTCCAAAATTGACTACATCGATAGCTTACTATAAACGAAATCTATATGCTTATAATTTCGGATGCCATGATTTTAATAAAAATATAAGTCGCATGTTCGTTTGGCCAAAAACTGAGAGATCTCGCGGGTCTCAGGATATTTCTTCATGTTTAGTAAAGTATATAAAGATTTGTGCTAAAACCTGTAAAAAATAACCTACTAAGACTCGTACGGGACAAAATAGAAATATTAAAACTGTTTTAAGTTTATTGAAATTGCTTCAAAGTACAGAAATACAAGCTGAATCAATTGAAATGAAATTTCTAGAAAGTGGACACAGTTACTTGCCTAATGATTCACAATTTGCTGTCATCGAATCTCGAGCAAAAAAGTTCAGAATATCGTTTCGCCAGATGATTGGTATAATATAATAAAAACCTGTAAAAAGAAAGCACCATTTCATATAGTTCAAATGACGCAGCAGGACTTTTTCTCTACAAGTACCTTAGAAAATTCTATCAATAATAGAAAGGTATCAGTTACAGGGATGCCAGTAAATTGGCTCAAAATGCACTGGATAAAATTAGAAAAGTCGAAACCCCATCTGATACAATTTTAATATGACTTTAACGAAGATGTCGAATTTAGTGCCATAAATATACGAAAAAGTGTAGCAGGTAGACCACTATGTCTGAAAAATGTGATCCAGCCTTTGCTGCATCCAACAGGTAGAATAGTGACAAGAGGAAAGATATGATGGATTTGTTGAAATTTATTCCTCCTATTAAACACGAGTATTATAAAACTTTAAGGACAAATTGACAGGATGAGAGCTCAAATACAGCTAACGAAGATGACATTTATAATGATAACGCAATTTAAACAAAGTAATAATACTCGTAATATTATGTACGAGTAACAGAATAGTTATTATTCATTTGTGCTAAACTCTTTAATAAAACATATATTTATATAATGACATTTTTCCGTAATAAAAGAATAATTCAAAGACTGAATTTGAATTAATAATTTACTTTCACTTGCCGAGTCGATTAACTCCCCCAATCACTAAACAATTGTAGTAATAATAATTACTCCAAGTATATTCCATCTTATACTTTCTATATGTCGTCAAATCAAATAAGCTATTGCAATAATACAGTCTACATCGTATTTTCAAATTTTTAATTTGAAGAGAATTTTAAGACAACATATAATATGTTATCATTTCTCTCAACTTCTTGTTTTATGGAGTTAATCGATTTGGCAAGTGAAGCATCCATATATCTGTTTGGAAGTTAATCAAATTTAATATGAAGAACAAAGAAAGTAATATATGTATTGTACTTTGTTATAGGATGCGCAAAACAAAATGTTTAGCTCAATAAATCTACACCTAAGCTGTTTTTCGGCTTTCTAATCATGAGCAGCTGACTATACGCCAGAAATTGGTTTTGATGAATAAACTGTACAAAAATTACTGCTTGGATGGAAGAATGTTTCTATTCTCATGTTAAAAAGAAACTAGACTCTTAGCTTAATAGTAGGTTAGATATGTAGTTTCCTTGTATATGTTTTTGAACATTTAGAATTTTGGTTTTTGCCAAACAAAATTTCCAGTTCGCAATAATATTTTTAATTTAAAGAAATATTTAAATCCATAAAGTAAGTTTTTCCAACCAGAGTTACAACGTTTTTAACAGAAGCATTCTATTTTGGAATCTCGCATTAAAACAGTATGGTGTGTCGTGCCGGAAAGTGGGTTTTGTGAAAAATGTTTTTTTTTTTTTTTTTTTTTTTTTTTTATGTTCGCTTTACTGCCTACGAATGATTAATACATAAACTGAGAATAATTCTTATTTGATTTTACAGATTGTATTCCTCATAGTCGATCACTTCCACACAAAGCATCCAAAGTTAAGGAAAGATATATTTTGGGATGAGATGGAACCACAACTGCCGCAGACGAAGATAACGGCCAAAACTATTTCTAATCCTCAACTAGGATCTGCTTTTAATCTCGAGTAAGTAGTAATTCTATCAGTTTCTCCTGGAAATTTATCTAATATATCTGTAACATGTTTATAAATATAAAACTTCATAAAATCGTTGTACAACTTTAACACATTTGGAAGCACGTGCATAGAAACTTAGTGTAAATTGGGCATATTGTAAAAATCTGATAAAATTTTCCTTCAGTGTTTTTCATATTTCTAATGTTCAATGCAACCACCATCCTACATATGATTTTATAACAAAAAAATTGTTTTTATGCTAATTGTTTATTTGTAGTTGAGGTAAATTAGATTTCATTGTCAAAGTAAGTCGGATGTATGTTAAACGAACATATTTATTGAATGATAAATTGTAAAAGCAGCTATATTTCTTGAAATACTGAATAATCATCTTAACATACATACAATTATACTGAGATATTTGTTCTTTAAATTTAATTTTTATAAGGAATTATGCGAGACTATTTATTTCTTCAGTCAGCGAAATTTAAACTTTTGCCTTTTCTTATAAACTTTGCCTTTTTTTCAGAGTAAATCCTGCGGATGCACAATTTTTGCCTATGGAAACTTTATTGGAAGAAGATAACGAAGCAAATGTTTATGCAAGCGATTCAGTGAAACAAATATCTGGTGTCCGCTACAGACCTTCATTCCTCATGAACATCCTCAACTCCAACTTTGGCCAAAGTATACGTAGAAGATCCACACAAAAGAATGATAGTTTCAGAGATCCTCAAGGACATTCCAACCCCGCGTTTGCCGCGAATTTGGAAAGATTTAATCCACCTAGAGGTAGTACTCCTAATGCCAGTCGAAAGTCCAGCGTTATCAAGATACCAAGTCCTACACACAGCCGGGCATCCAGCATATCCTTCCACCCAAGCAGTATTAGCAGACATAGACACAAAATGTACGATGTACAGCAAGCTGAAAATAATAATCAAATAAATGCTGATGGACCTAATATTGCAGCTGCAATGACAGCTGCTATTGCGCCTGTCGTAGCAAACTTTGGGGAAAATTCAACGCATGAAATTTCTGAGAGTGCCATGGAATCGGAGATGGGCATTCCTAAGTTGGACAGTCACATGCCACCGATACCTGAAGAGCCATCCAGAGTAGTATCCTCAAGCAATCTAGAGACTAGTAGTTTGCCTTGTGGTGATACCAACAAGCAGATGGATGTCCAAAACTTCGTTGCTGAAGCTAGCAAAGTATTGGAAGAACTTAATCGTATGGTGACGGCTCAGGGACATAAACAAGACTGCCATTTAAAAGGCTATGAGTCTTGCTGTTCGTTAGGTTCAGATGATAGTTCTGATGAGGAATTTGAGATGACCAATCCTACAGAAGAATGCCCTGATGAATCACTAGACAGAAATTCTGTTGTCATTGATATGAACAGAATCAATGAGAATGAAGCAGAATCGCAATTTGTAAAATAATTTTTGTATACTTATAAAATTTTAGAAAGAAATTTCGTGATTTGTTTTCGTGTTATGTAATCTGCTGTGCTTGGATTAAAGCAGTGTATTTTATGTATTTTACTTTTTTGAGATTCCATAGCATTCAAAAGCTGTTAGTTGAGGTTTTGAATTTTAAAATCACTCGGCTGTTATTGAGATTTTACCAGATACGTCAGTTACTTTTTATTGACAATTTAATTTTCAGTTCACGGCTTGAAACACGGCTTGTTAAAGAAAACAATGATACTTATGTGTAGGTTATAATTTCAACGACATTAGAAGACTTTTAACATACTGAAGAGTCTTGTAGAAACCTTCATCTAGATTTTTTTAAAAATTGTTTGGACAATAATATGTCCATTTGTGAAGACAACGATAAAATAATAAGTACATTCGCTTATTTTTATTACACAAAAACATCAGCATTTTTTTATTTCATGTAAATGTAAAGTTTTATCTTACTTCGCAGCCTATCGTCTTATTGGGTTTATTTCCACATAAAATCCACTACATAAATAATTTTATCATTAGCGAGACTAAGTAAGTTAAGGATTTCATTTTCGAGAAATTCAAGAAACTAACTCACTGATGTTTCTCAATTATTCAAGTTGCCGATTGAAAAAAAAAAACAAAAATAGAACTTTTATGAGTGCTTCAGATCTGAGTGAATTTCGGATTTCTGCTTTTGTTGGTATTTAGTGTGTAACTGATACTAAAACACAAGGTTATTTGTCTATTTGTATACATTTTTGAAGGACTTCGAAAAAAAAAAAAAGGCTTATGTTTACGTTAGGCAAGGGCGAAAATTTTCAGTCAGTCTGTCTGTTCACCGGCATTTAAAAGCCAGATCGAACTACAAAAAATTAGAAAAAATATTTTGAAACTGATTGGATTTTGAGAAATGAGCTCTTAATTCTCTGAGTTATGATACTGCTTGCACTTGAGTTATAATACTCCTTACACACATGCGCTTCTATGTTGTCATCCTACATTTTACCACTATGCTTGTGTATCATAAAGGTACCTCCGTGTTGTGTGTAATCTTTTTTTTTCCCTTTTATAGTGTGTAGAGGGAAAAGGGCAGAGGGATTAGCAGCTTAGTAAATCGGAGAATGTTGTTTACAGTCTTCCAAGCAATTTTCTCTATCTTGTCTCATCGGGTGATTTTTTTGAACATCTATTCCAAAAATGAATTAGCCTTACAGAGAGGGTGTAAACAAAGTGTTAATTTCTCAATTTTAAAATATTTACAAGCTCTGAACGTGATATAATTTTAGGTTAATATATTTTAAGTAGACTAATATATTTTAAGTGATATAATTTTAAGTAGACTACGAAATCATCTCTTGTACAATGTTAAATAACAGTTAAGTGTAACTTCATAACATACGATATTTACATCATTTTACAACTTACATTTGTCTTTCCTTAGTCCTTAATGAGTAAATAATTTATCATACAAACCCCTGTACCTGGAAAATATAGAAAGGATGTCTTTGTGAAGGATTTTTCATTCTTTTTTCTCTATTCACCAAATAGGGGGAAAGGGGAATAATTCGAAAGCTTCCAGTCTTGCATATAAAACAATTTTTGCCAATAATTTTTTTGAAGACATGTAGTGGCAATACTAAAGTTTATTTGTAAGTTTCTTTAGAGACACCAGATAGCTTTTAATAGTCGATTGTTTATTGAATCATTTGATGTTAGTTTCTTCTGAATTGCTTAAAACTGAGTATCGTTTTCTGATTAAATGTTTGCCTAAAGAATGACTTATACCAAAGAAATAAAACATTACTTGGATTATATATATGGTTATTCTTCTCCTTCCTATTTAACGGTGCAATAATGGGCAGAACGATTTCGCACGGACCGAGAAGGTAGATGATAATTCTTCTGTAGGTCGATTGGCATTGCCATCAGAAAATATATCTCGTGTCTAGGAGCAAATATTGATTGATAGGAGATTAAAATTCAAGAAGATGAACAGGAAAATCTATCTAAAACAACTGTTTTGCGCATTCTATATGAACATCTTCTCAGGAACAAATTCTTTGCAAGATAGATAAACCGGCTTCTTTCAGTAATACAAAAGCAATTCAAAGTGATCAGCGAAATTTAAAAACAACAATGTAGGCTTAAAGAATTTGATTACCCCTCTTGAAACCCAAATTTAACTCGAAATGATTATTACACACATTTTGCAAATTGAAATCTGAAATTTGTGGGTAGAGTTTAATAATGACGGTATGAAAAGTGCAGGCATGGAGGGTTTTGAGGACTAAGCTTCGGATTACTTATTTGAAAAGTTTATCGAGGTAAGAAAAGGTCTTATTGAAAAATATAGTATTAAAAATTTCCCTATTTCTTTTTAGAAGTATCTCAGGCAGGAAAATTTTAGAGCTATTTACTAACTTTACAACTGCCTTTTTCAACTGCTGAGAACTGAGCTCCGGATAAATTTGCAATATTCAGTGATTAACTTCACCATTTGTAAATATAATTCGGAACAACTGTTATTTACTTGAAAAAGAGAGGCGTTGTTTGTAAAGTCTTGTAAACAAAAGTACAGAAAAATCCTCAGGCTACGAACGAGGTTTTGCATTCTGGAGAATGCGAGTTGAATCTCCAATGAGTAACATACATTATGATAATGAAATTTTGATGTCATGTGATATTAATGCATTACAATACCGAAATAATAATATATATCGTAATATTTGGCTACTGGGCCCTATTTTTTATTTCGAGCAGAACTTTAAAAACCTTACGTAAAGTTTAGGCAGGAGAAGGAGAGAAAAAACGTTAGTTTAAAGCTAATATAATACTATATCGATTCTTAGTAACTGGGGCATTTTGAGGCAAGAATATAAGTTAACATTAATTAGAACATGGTGGCGTAGATGGTACTAATGCTGAACAATACAATAACGACTCGGGCAAAGTCGAATTCAGTTTTTCGAAGATAGGGGGTGGAGGGTGGAGGTGAGTAACTTACCACTGCAAACGAGTTTCTGAAAAATATATCTGGGGGAAATTTTAATCCTTTTGATGTTCTAGGCTATCGAACGAACGAGTAGGAAATCCTGGTGAACACCGGTAACTCAACCCCGTTTCGAATCTACTGAGCGAGCTGAATGCATAGGGCTCTTAGTTTTTGTGATGTTAATACTAGCCAGTTTTCTTAGAAACCCCACCTTAAGGTATCTTTTCCTTAGGCAGATAACGTTATAGTATCTTTTATTACAATCTAAATTCTTTTGACAATGATGTAAAGTATAAAATCTCTAAACTATTTTTTACGCCATATCTACTGCCTTCGTACTGCTTGCGCTTGAAAATACAATCATAAAACGAAATGGGAGTAATAAAATGGTAAACAAAAAGATCTGAAGATTGCTTATTGAAGTGAATAAAAGAGCTATAGCTAACCAACGGCTCAGCGTGTAGGAAAACAGTTGAAAATGAGTAAATAAGTGGTTCCAGATTTTTTAATGTTTAATTCCAATATTTTATTATGGAGGACACTTAAGCAATGGATTCCTTGAATGTATCGTTCGGAACATGGAACCGTATTACCTGTAGGGGATTACAACAAGGTATCTTAAATTTTAATATTAATTCATACTTTATTATTAATTATAACAAAGACCAAGCACACAAGAAAAGCACATGAGTAAATCCTCTGGTGTTGAATAAGAAGCCAGCAAACCAGCGCCAAAGCCTATTCGAAAAATCTATTATAACTGTCTTCGCAGAACTCTGAGAATGATCTCAAGCAATCGGTAAAACATACCAGGGCCTTTGTGGAAGGTAGGATCACGGCTATAAAAAAACGCACCAGAAAGACTTCGAATGGAAAGACTAAGCAATTACAATAGAAATTAAGTTTATGAAATATTTGGATACAGGAATTCTCAAATATTTGCCCGTTAATCATAGCAAACAGGCATATTTGAGAACGTGTCGAATATAATTTATTAGGCTCGCTAGCGGTAAGAGCGCTAAACACTGGTATTTCAATCCGGGCTAAAATCCTGATGATCGGACTGGCTGCAAGGGACGTTTTGTGGTTTCCTCCATGCGTAAGGTGAATACGAGCCAGTTTGCCGTGAAACGCTTTCTACGAAGACAATCCTCTCCGTAGCCAGACAGTCTTTGAGTCGATTTGCCTTAATTAATGTAATCGAAGTAGCTTTTCTCGCCGTGTAATAAGGCGGATGAGTTTCGACACAAAAACGAGACTCACCTTTATCAGTAAAAAATATACGTTTAATCTAATTTTTTAATGATATCTGTCCTTGAGGAATTGTTCGCAGGATGCGAATTATGAGAAAAAAAAAAGCATTTGTCTCCTAAATTTTCTTAAGAATTTGTAGTTCAAAAATCAACGAAAGGAATAAATATTAGAATTACTTTTTACTACAATGTAAAGTTAGATTCTAAAATCTGTTGTTAACATGTATTTAATCCGTAACAGGGGACGTGCGGTCTGACGGACCACGCCACATGTTCCTCTCATCACCCCTATTGCATGCTTTATCCAATTGAATGAATTCTTCCCCTAGCTTCACGTTTCGTGAACCTTCTTTCTGACCCCTTCTTATTCGGAATGCTTTGGCATGTGTATCTGTTGAAATTCTTCTAGAGCGGCCTGTGAAGACCTCACCTCCTCTCTCAGTGTTACAAGTTTTTTCAGCAGTAGTGAACACATGGCTCTGAAGTTAGGTCCGCGGAAATTCATTTATCCTTCTGATCCGCGTTATGCAGAAGAACTGAAAAAAATTCTAGACGAAAATGGAAGTGGTTTTAGGGAAAAAGATGACTGTGAAGAAAATTTCTTCAAAAGTGCCCAGACTCTGAATTTTCTGCAGACAGCAATGATTTCTCTGATCTAGAAACAACTAATTCCGTAAAATACTACTATGGAAAAAATAGGTTCAAATGGTCATCCATTGAACCAAATCGAAAAGTTAGAAGCCCAGCTCACAATATCGTAAGACTTCCTGGACTAAGACCTTACGGAAAAATTGATAATTCAGATCCCAAAAATGTATGGCAACTACTTTTTACTGACGA